CATGGCGGTCTCTATCGGGTTGTTGTCATAGCCGACAGCAGGGGTCATTAATCAGTCTCTCACTTTCGAGTCCACGACCCCCTCCCCATAATCCCCCGAGAGTCGAGTTGGCCCTTGAAGGATCTCCACCGGTCTGTCCCTCGTCTCGTGGAATCAATGTTATTGATTAAAGAATTCCCACCCCCACCCTCAGTCGTGTTTAACTCACAGTGGCTGCCTGTTTCCGCTCCTTCTTTTGATCTGTAAATAAAACCCACCCTATTCTAGGGGGTGGGGCAGGAGGTAGGGATGGAGTCGTTTTTTTAATGTTGCTGCTGTGGGGGAGGGGGGGGTCACTGACACAAGTGAGTCACGTGTGTGTCAGGGGCTCATTGTTTGATGTATATCTGGTCAGTCAAAACACACAACTCCCCCACATCACCACACTTCACCTCCACACATTACCCCCACCATCACACATTACTCCCACCATCGCACATCACTCCCACCCCACCCAACACATTGCCCCCACCATCATTCCCGCCCCACACATTACCCCCACCATCACACATCACTCCCACCCCACACACTACACCCAACATCACACACATGACTCCAACTTTCACACACAGACTACCTCTCACATCGGTCATGTCACTCAACCAAACCACGCGCCTTAACACTGCAATTACACATCACAATTACACACCCTAATTACACACCCCAATTACACATCACAATTACACACCCTAATTACACACCCCAATTACACACTACAATTACACACTCGACACACGCCGACCCTCCCGCCAAGTATCACTCACTCACCCCCCCCCCAATCCCACCCCACCCTAAGCTACCCCCCTCCCCCCCACACACATCTTAACCCCACCCTTACCCCTATCATAACATACAACAAACACCCTTTGTATATCACCTAACAATACAGCACATACACGCCTACCGTCACCAAACACCATCTCACCATCACGCCGACACGCGATCATCAACACACGCCACTCCTAGGAACACCCACCCCGGAACACTCGCCCTATAGATTTTGTAGGGGGGGGGGGAGGGGGGTCTAACCCGTTCCCATTATTCCCATTGAATCAGGCACCATCAAGTGGTAAAATGCGAACCATCTGTAGAGATGATGAAATGATTGTCTCGGCCTTACAATGCGGCCCTACTCCGTGCCATCTCACTAACGAAGCCTGATTGGACTGTCAGTCTCGCATGTAACCAGCTGTCCATCACAAAGTGGCAGGGACCGAGCCTAGGATCGAGGTCGCCGTTAGCTGGTGTAGCGGCGAGGGTAGCTTGTGTTTGTACTGAGACTAAAGCAGTTGGTGGCCAGTTGTTAGGACGTGTACTCGGTGTTGACAGTTGCTGTTGGTTTTTCTAGGTGACGTGTCGAGGGTGGGGGTGGAGGGGGTGGCCTGCTCATTTGTACCGTGTTGTGTTTGTTGGGGAGAGTGAAGGTCGGACTAAATGTGTGACATTTTCAAAATAGTGTGTGTGTGTGGATGTTTTGAAGGTCAGGGTGAATGGTCTCGAGTTACCAGTGTACAACTGTTGACTGTGCTGCAGCGCTACCTTACACCACCAGTAACTTACCACTCCTATACCTAACCACACCCTTACCTTACCACACCCCTACCATACACCACCCTTACCCAGTGGCGTAGCCAAGTCGGGTGTCACCCGGTGCGGCACTTAATGGTGTCCCTCCCCCCCAGAGGCATAGAGAACCTTCCCAGGGACAAACTTTCAAATTTTCGATTTGCACCCCCCCCCTCAAACTTTCGATTTGCACCCCCCTCAAATTTTTTTATTTGCACCGCCACCCCCAACTTTCGATTTGCACCCACCCCTCGAGTTTTTCTCTATATATTTTCCTATTTTTTGCCTTGGTGTCACCCCCCTAAATGGTGTCACCCGGTGCGGTCCGCACCCCCCGCCCCCCCCCTCGCTACGCCCCTGCCCTTACCTTAACCTAACCACACCCTAGCCTGACAACACCCCTACCTTACCACACCTTTAAACACCCCTACCTTACCACACCTATACCTGACCTCACCCCAGCCTAGAAAATGAAGTACCTAGACACTCTCAAGAAAACTACTACACAATAGACTTGTCAACTATTGGCTAATGACTCCAGTAATCGTGTTGGTACAGTTACATCTGTCACGTTGGCCTAATGTCCCCTGTTGTCACGTTGGCCTAATGTCCCCTGATGTCACGTTGGTCTAATGTCACGTGGGTCTAATGTCCTCTGTTGTCACGTTGGTCTGATGATCTTGCTGTTGAGATAGGCTAAATGTCCCACTCTGTCCACCCAATAGCTTTTTTTGTTGTTGACAAAATTGCCCGCAATGTGCCACCTACGGTTGCCACGGTAACAATCCTAGGCTACAGATTTAGTGTGGACAAGTTAACCTATGGTCACCTAGAACCGTTGAAATAAAATAAGTCAAACAAAGTCTCTTTAAGTTTTATCTTCCACAACCCCCCTCCCCACACACACCCCTCCCGCGCTCACACACGTACAGCTCTTAGCTTTACGTGTAATCTACATTGTTGGCATTTTAAAAAATTTAAATGTAAAAAAAAATGCTTGACATTTTAATCCAGTTGACATTCTAATTAATTTAAAATTGTTTATGTCATACATTTTGTATTGCGTAAGCACGAATGTGTTAAAATAAAAAAAATATTTACACTGGATTGGGGGGGGGGGTTAAACATCACGAGCCCTTTAAAATCAATTTAAAATACTTTTTTAGGATTGGTATCGAGTTTAGTTGAGCAAAAACTCGACGTTGATGTTGACAGTATGTAAAATGCTTTAGCTGAGGAATTTTGTGCTGTGTACGATAAATGCATCCCCCCCTAAGCGCTGGTAGACATACTTATTTAGAATATTTCCACACGCCAACATTACAGGTAATTAATCATGTCTTTTTAAACCCGCCCCCCCCCCCCACCCTACAAAACAACAGTGCATGCATGTTTATTAACTGAGCTTTTGGCGTGGGCTCCACAAGACACGAGAGTGCCAATGTTTTTCTCACCTAGCTGTCACACTTTACAAAAATACCTGGGGATTCTTCGCCCCCTCGTCTACCTGTCAGAACTGATGTTGGGAGTTTGTTAATGAAAGTACATTTCACTTTTTGTTTGTGTGTGCATACAGTAGTAACAATGCTTTAAAGCTTGAAATCCCTGTCCCCCCCCCTCCCCTCTAGTAGAACATCCACCCTCCCCCACTGGGTAAAAGGCCTGTTGACGGTAGGTAAGAGCTTTACTCACCTGTGTCGTGAGGGTCAGTGTCAGATGTCCTTTAAGCAGCTTAGCGGGTGTGGACCAATAGGTGGAGATGGATATACTACATGCTAATTTTTGTGGCCGGTTGTTGCTTTACACCTTGGTGTATGCTTGTTGTGATGGATTGTGTGGATAGACGATTCGTATTGTGGATTGTGTGGATAGACAGTTCGTATTATGGATAGTTTGGATAGACAATTTGGTTTCTGGATAGTTTGGATACTTGATTTGTTATCTGCCAGTTGTAACAATGGAACGTTATATGTTAAAAATAAAAAGGCCTTTACTGTATGTACAGCTCTTGTATAAATATGTAATATATAGGCCTATTTGCTGTTTCAATTGTTAAGAACGTCTCTTCCGATATTCTAAATGGAGAGCTCACTACACACTGCATAATCTAAATTCCGGGACTTTAAATTTGTGGTTGTGATTTCAATCTTTCTCAAGTTTTAGTACGGAGTTGCGTATTTGTTAAATAAATTCCTATACTGATCGTTTAAATAAAACATAATTACTGTACGTGGTTGTTTGTATTAATTTATTCCTGTATGGGGCACAACTCACACACAATGAAACGCACACAGTGGAACTGGGGAGATGTGTTTATAAATAGCAACAAGCTAGAGTTAAAATGTAGGTCTTGGTATACTTTTTAATGTTCTATTTATTTTAATTAAACGGGAATCGTAGAAAAGTAACGGGGCTGTCTTCTCTACATTTATCACCGTTTTGTTTTTCATAAAACATAATCAATACTCTGATGAGTGGGTCTATCCTTAACAGTCAAGGTCATACCCACAGAACATGTGACACCCCCACCCCCTAGGTCATGTGACACAGATCCCAGGTCATGTGACACAGATCTATGTGAAAATACCCATGCAACATAGTTCTGAATGTAATTTTTTACTTTCTCGTATATACGAAGTATAGAGAAAGTCTTGTAATCGTGCACAAAAATCACATTAAATTTGGACAGTTTTCACCGTTTTACTCCTCAGTCCTTCATCACATCAGGGATATAGAAGACTTATTTTAATCGGGCAAAAATTATAAACTCAGATATATAAAATTTTTGGCGTTTTATGCGTAATGGAGTTGGAAAAACTGGATTATCCAATTCTGTCCGTGTGTGTGTCCGTGTGTAAACACGATAACTTGAGTACCGTTACAGCTAGGTTGATGAAATTTCATATATAAGTATTTTATCAAAATCGTAGATCCGTATCAACTTTTGAGCGATTTCCGATAACCGGAAGTGGTACTTTTTCTACTTTGAATTTTTCAAAAGCCTATAACTTGAGTTCTATTTCAGATAGATAAATGACATTTGATATGTAAGTAGAAGATCTAATTCTCTACCTTCTGTCAAATTTTGAGAAATTTCCGTTTATCGGAAGTACTTATTTACGCTACTTCCGATTTCTCAAAAACGCATGTAAATTTATAAAGTACTAATAATATTGCGCACTATTATGCACATCTTTATTTAGCGTTCACTTGGTGTGCATTTCTTTTTTCTACGAGATTATATTCTATTTTTAAAAATTTGAGTATTTAAAATGGATTAAAAATCATGTCTAGAAGTCTATATCCCGAGTTGCCATCCCCCGTAGTGTTATATTAGAATATTCGAGAAAGTTTAGGGGAGATCACTCCCGGTTTATTCTTTCTTTTTTTCCCAGTGCTCTGCGCAAAGAACATCGCCAAGAAAGATTTCTTCAGTAAGTTTTTTTTTTCTCTACACATTTATTACATCATTTGTTTACAATAATACGTTCAGGATGAGTACTTGAGGAAATTTTTTTCCACGTGAAAACTCATCATGTAATCATTGACTACTGGTTGAGATGCCATGGTCTCGTGGCTATGGTCTACTGTTTGATACCAGTAGTCACGTGATTATGGCCTACTGTTTGAGACCCCCTGGTCACGTGATTATGGCCTACCGTTTTAGACCCCCCTGGTCACGTGATGCCCTCATGTTTTGCTAATCCCCAGTGATCTCCTCCACAGGACTCCCTGACCCGTTTGCGAAGATAACTGTCGATGGTTCTGGCCAGTGCCACTCTACGGACGTTTGTAAGAACACGCTTGACCCCAAGTGGAACCAGCATTATGACTTGTAAGTAGTGGACACAGGGGGCTAATGGACAGAAGGGGAGGGGGTGCTAGTGGACACAGGGAGGTAGTGGACAGAGGTGGCTAGTGGACACAGGGGGACTGGTGGAAAGGAGTCTACTGGGCATACAAGGGGTGAACGGAAAAAAGTCACAGGAAAAAAATGTCAATAGTTTTTGCTAGGAAAAAAAGTCACAGGAAAAATTTTATCAGAAAAGTCACAGAAGTTAAGTCACAGGAAAAAGTCACAAATAATTTTTTTATGAAATATTTTGATTTAGTTCGCTAGTGCGTAGAGGGAACATACATGGGCCAGTACCAAATTAGTGGCTGCCCAACCTTTGAAGACAGTATTGAACCAAACAAGTCACGTGATAATGACCAGAGAAAACCTACGTGCCGGTACATGTGAACCAAGCAGATAGCTCATGCCTGCTGTGGTGAATGTTTCAAGTTCAGAGTCAACCCACTTGACGATCGCATTCTTTGACCCCCTCTAGACACACTGTCTAGTTGTCCTCGACCCTAGTTCTAGACACACTTGAGTTCTCTGTGTCTGACCCTAGTTCTAGACACACTTGAGTTCTCTGTGTCTGACTTTAGTTCTAGACACACTTGAGTTCTCTGTGTCTGACTTTAGCTCAAGACACACTTGAGTTCTCTGTGTCTGACTTTAGCTCAAGACACACTTGAGTTCTCTGTGTCTGACTTTAGTTCAAGACACACTTGAGTTCTCTGTGTCTGACTTTAGTTCTAGACACACTTGAGTTCTCTGTGTCTGACTTTAGCTCAAGACACACTTGAGTTCTCTGTGTCTGACTTTAGTTCAAGACACACTTGAGTTCTCTGTGTCTGACTTAAGTTCAAGACACACTTGAGTTCTCTGTGTCTGACTTTAGCTCAAGACACACTTGAGTTCTCTGTGTCTGACTTTAGTTCAAGACACACTTGAGTTCTCTGTGTCTGACTTAAGTTCAAGACACACTTGAGTTCTCTGTGTCTGACTTTAGCTCAAGACACACTTGAGTTCTCTGTGTCTGACTTTAGCTCAAGACACACTTGAGTTCTCTGTGTCTGACTTTAGCTCAAGACACACTTGAGTTCTCTGTGTCTGACTTTAGCTCAAGACACACTTGAGTTCTCTGTGTCTGACTTTAGCTCAAGACACACTTGAGTTCTCTGTGTCTGACTTTAGTTCAAGACACACTTGAGTTCTCTGTGTCTGACTTAAGTTCAAGACACACTTGAGTTCTCTGTGTCTGACTTTAGCTCAAGACACACTTGAGTTCTCTGTGTCTGACGTTAGCTCAAGACACACTTGAGTTCTCTGTGTCTGACTTTAGCTCTAGACACACTTGAGTTCTCTGTGTCTGACTTTAGTTCTAGACACACTTGAGTTCTCTGTGTCTGACTTTAGCTCAAGACACACTTGAGTTCTCTGTGTCTGACTTTAGTTCAAGACACACTTGAGTTCTCTGTGTCTGACTTAAGTTCAAGACACACTTGAGTTCTCTGTGTCTGACTTTAGCTCAAGACACACTTGAGTTCTCTGTGTCTGACTTTAGTTCAAGACACACTTGAGTTCTCTGTGTCTGACTTAAGTTCAAGACACACTTGAGTTCTCTGTGTCTGACTTTAGCTCAAGACACACTTGAGTTCTCTGTGTCTGACTTTAGCTCAAGACACACTTGAGTTCTCTGTGTCTGACTTTAGCTCAAGACACACTTGAGTTCTCTGTGTCTGACTTTAGCTCAAGACACACTTGAGTTCTCTGTGTCTGACTTTAGCTCAAGACACACTTGAGTTCTCTGTGTCTGACTTTAGCTCAAGACACACTTGAGTTCTCTGTGTCTGACTTTAGCTCAAGACACACTTGAGTTCTCTGTGTCTGACTTTAGCTCAAGACACACTTGAGTTCTCTGTGTCTGACTTTAGCTCAAGACACACTTGAGTTCTCTGTGTCTGACTTTAGCTCAAGACACACTTGAGTTCTCTGTGTCTGACTTTAGCTCAAGACACACTTGAGTTCTCTGTGTCTGACTTTAGCTCAAGACACACTTGAGTTCTCTGTGTCTGACTTTAGCTCAAGACACACTTGAGTTCTCTGTGTCTGACTTTAGCTCAAGACACACTTGAGTTGAGTTTGAGCTCAGGGTTTCGTGCGCCAGACAGATAAAACACACATACCACACAGAACATTGGCAGATCATAACACAGAGTAGGGACAGAAAATAGCACTTTAAGCACACAGAACACGGCACACAAAATATCACATAAAAAATAATATTACTTTAAGCACACATAACATGGACAGAACATATACACAGAACATGACATACACAGAACACAACATGCTTGAAACAGCACATATAGAACATCAGAACATATCATGTGTGGCAGACCACAGCACACACACCACAGCACACACGCCACACCAACCTATCGATTTTTGTCTTCCTAATCTTACCTACATTATTGATATAGTCTGGCACGTAAAACCAGACCACCTACATTTCAGTCACTTGAAAACTTCACGTTGATATCACATTCCATGATAACATTAGGCGGGAGGTGGTACCGAAATAAAATTAAAAGACCTAATGTGACATCTACATTGGCATGTACATCCCACACCTAATTTTGTATGTTAGTTGATGTTACAACTTCTCAAAAGCTTATATGGTTTTATTTACTTGACCAAAACACTGACCACTCCCCTGCCATCGTCTACATACATTATTTAAATTCTGTACATGAACCTACAAGTTAAGACAATCGTCTTCTGCTGGTCATGAAGTGGTCGTTGACCCCGGGGTCAGGGGTCAGGCACGGCTCTGCCTGACTAGCGGTGTGGGACTTGTTTGAACACAACCACACACTTGAACCGGTTCATCGACCGCCCCCCCCCCCTCCCACATCCCAGCCGTCCATACACATTCCCAGGGCAATTGAAACTGAAGCAGTCGTTGGATCTCTACTGCCAGACGGCTAAAGTTGTCCAAGTGTCGACGTAATGATGACAAACCGGGTTTTGTCTTTCTAACCCCCCCCCCCCCCGGGGGTCACAACTGACAGATGACACTCGAATGTCAAGGTTAGACCCAACACGTCTGACTGGAGGCGCCGTTTAATGTCAGCACAATAGTAACAGGGGGGGGGAGATAGTGGAACTACTAGTTGTGGTGGGGGGGGGGGGGCAGATAGTGGAACTACTAGTTGTGGTGGGGGGGATGCAGATAGTGGAACTACTAGTTGTGGTGGGGGGGATGCGGATAGTGGAACTACTGGTTGTGGGGGGGGGGGGATGCAGATAGTGGAACTACTGGTTGTGGTTGGGGGGGGGGGGGTGCAGATAGTGGAGCTACTGGTTGTGATGGGGGGGGGGGGTGCAGATAGTGGGACTAATGATTGTGATGGGGGGGGGGGTGGGGGGAGGGGGTGCAGATAGTGGAACTACTGGTTGTGATTGGGAAGGGGGGGGGTCGTGCGTACTTGAGGGAGACAATCAGTGACGTACTTCCGCTTGTCATTCTACTCACTCGTTGTTTTGACCTTTCAACTGCCGGACTGACGCCAGACCCACTTCGCTCCGTCTACTTTTGTTTTTACTTTATGTAATCTTAGTGACTGTCAACATGGTTCATTTAGGGTTCACATTTAGGGTTCACATTTGGGGTTCAAACGTTTTCCCTTAATGTAATCTTAGTGACTGTCAATATGGTTCATGTAGGGTTCATGTTTGGGGTTCACACGTTTTCTCTTTTTGTAATCTTAGTGACTGTCAACATGGTTCATTTAGGGTTCACATTTGGGGTTCACAATCAGGGTTTCACACTTCGGGTTGATAATGAGGGTTCACACATCAAATTCAGAAATATTTCACTCCGCAACATCTCATATTTGACCCACACTGTAAATAACGCAGTTAGCGGGAGGTAATTGTTTATTAAAGCGTCTGAAGTCACCATAGTAACGACCCCTTCATTAGATATTACACCACAATTTTTCCCCGGCAGAAGCGAATGGGTTGTTTACAGGTCTGTTTGAATAATTAATGAGACAACTCTGTAGTGCTCAAACCAGATGGGAGTTGTGTCCTCCTCCTGTAACCAGTTATGTCCCCTTGTTGTAACCATTAATGTCCTATTGTTGTAACCAGCTATGTCCCCTTGTTGTAACCAGTTATGTCCTCTTGCTCTAACCAGTTATATATCCATGCCCTAACCACCTGTAACCTCATGCTCTAACCAGTTGTGTCCCCATGCCCTAACCACCTGTACCCTCCCCCCTCAGGTACGTGGGCCACAAAGACTCCATCACCATCAGCGTATGGAACCACAAGAAAGTCCACAAGAAACAGGGCGCAGGTTTTCTTGGCTGTGTGCGCATCATGTCCAACGCTATTCATCAGCTTAAAGACACGGGATGTAAGTCTAAACTTTTGCTGTCATTATGTGCATTATTACCTGGTCAAATACAGAGTTAACTGGTCAAGTACAGACTTACCTGGCCAGGTGCACCTTTACCGTGGCAAGTGCACTTTAACCTGTCAAGTCTACCTTTACCTGGTCAAGTGCACTTTTACCTTGTCATGTCCAGAAATACCTGGTCAAGTTTATCTTAGGTCCATTTTCACCTGGAGGTTTAGTTTTTTTTTTACTGTAACATCCTTTATGGTTAGGTAATTTTATGTGGGACTTCAATCATTAACAAAAAAAATCCAGTTTTCATTTTTTATCAATTATCCAGTTATGTAGGCCTATATGTTTATTTGAAAAGGTTATTTAAAGTAAAATTATGGAGTTAGTGATCGAGAAAGACAGAGAGTGATGGTGGATTGAAAGAATGAGATACTTCGTTAGAATACATGAAGCGAGATACTTCACTATACAAGATGTAGTGAAAAACATTACAGTTTATAAAGACCGCATTATGATAGAAAGATTGGAAGACTACGGTGTAGTAGAGAACAAAGAGGACTGGTATGACTGAGTGTGAGACTACAGTACTGTAGTTGATGGTGAAATAGTTCATGGTGAGATTTGGTATGACTGAGTGTGAGACTACACTGCGATAGTTGATGGTGAAATAGTTGATGGTGAGATTGAGATGATGCTGGATGGAGTTCATCAAAATTCTGCTCTCCAACCAACAGACACCATCAGTTAAGGAAGGGGCGATTACTCCTCGATAAAATTCCCTCTCGGCGCAGACCAGTATCGCCGCTATCATGGCTATGCAAGCGGCGTTATCTCTCCTTCACAGCACACCCAATACACTCGAGATTTTTTGTTTTACTCCCATGTGCTGGGTGAACACGCACCCGTAAACCCGCACACGCCCTCCTGCTAGTAAACAATTCTAAAAATAAATTCTTTTAAAAACAAATTACAGGGAATAGATGATTACCCCCTCGTACTTATTTTTTTCCTCTCTCCCCGCCCATTCCCTCCCCCGATGTGAACTATGAAAATGAGTTTTTGTGTCCATTCCCTCCCTCACGTTGACATTAGGCGGGCAGTTATCATTTGTTGAGCGCGGTGTCGAGTCAACAAATTTGTTCATGAATCGTGAGCGCGCTGGTTTATCCCATGTACTCACCACATCCGCTCCAGACAGCTCGTCTGCCGACGGTCGTGCTCTCGTCTGGGTTCTTCCCTCTCCCGCACTACCCATAATTTCCCCCCCTCCCATCGGGTTGACATGTTGTCAACGGTCATTTCCGGAATAATAAATGGGATTCCCAGCGGAAATATTCCCAAGCCGCAGCCTCTCATATACTGGTCGTTAAGAAGTTCCGAGATGGTAAATAAACAGTTCCGTCGTGTGTTGTCAGCGGAAAGGATAGCCGCGTATCTGGCTGTCAGTTACAGTAGAGTTTAGCTGTTTACTTTCCCCGACCAGTGCGATTCCCAGCCCTCCTTACTGTAAGGTCTCCATCATGATGTTGGGCTAAAGGATATGCTGCTGCTGTAACGAACACACAACTTTCCGGGTTTCAGCCACATGCCCTACCGCTCAACCATACAATTTTTATGAAATCATATTTTAATAGCCCAATATCTCGATTAGCTTGATGTCGTAAACAATAACTACACGTTTTGCTGATAAATTTTGAGAAATAAACTTCTTATTCTGGTCGAATCTGAACAATAATTTGTTCCATTATGCGAACCATTCTTTTACTTTCACGTTATTTTTTGTAAAGCTAAACGCCCTTCGTGGGCGGGGCGTAGGCGCCCCTCCCCCCTCCCATTTGCTAACGGAGAACGCCGCGTCAGGGTGGGACCCACTAGATTACAATACACCCTTTATAAATTCGCTGTTGGCAATCTGAAACGTTACGTCACAATATGCCCCAGGTATATCAGGACCCCCCCCCCCCCCCCCTCATCCCTTGCCACACCTGAACAATAAGATAGTATGAGAAGAATGAGACCACTTAAAGAACAGTGCTGTGCCAAGAATCCACTCACCCTTTGGATAGATATCAGGAATCGTTTGATCGTTATGTACCCCCGCCCAGTGCGGAGTATTCGTCCGCCCAGCGTTCTGTTTTGTATAAGTCCGCCCAGCTCTGTGTTGTTAGATAAAAAAAAAATTAGCTTGATGCTGACAAAAAATTATATTAACCCTGTTATTTATACCAGCTTGATGCTGAAAAAAATTATATTAACCCTCTAATTTATCCACCTTGATTGAGAAAAAAAATGTGAGCGTGTAAAATATATGGGTGTTGTGGTACCTGTAGGTTAATGGCGGCTGTCTGTCGGTAATTAGACGCGAGTTACATCACGGGGAGAGTATGAATGGAGGGCAACCGTTGTAGTACTCTCGCGTGAGGCTGGGGCTGGTACCTGCTCGTGAGTCCTACAGGTAGGCTAGGAGTTGATCATCGGCCTGGACCCTCGCCAAGCCTCGTGCGGTGCACTGTGTTTACGTTCGATGTGCTCCTGCTATCTCATACAATTACAACCACAGCCGTCTGAGGGGTGGGGGTAGGGGCTGGGGGTGAGGGGAGATTACTTAATGTTTTATCTCAGACTTGGAAGGTGAATAGGATGGCCCAAGTTCAAATACTTTGGCAGAAGTGAGGCAAGAAGAATGTTGGGGGGGGGGGGGGGAAATAAGAAGGGAGATAATTACTAGCAGGTATTTGCTACGGGTAATGGCAGGAGTTAGTCGTACATTAATTGTATTAAGCTTATCATTTATCTTCGGCATGTTACATATATATGTGTATATATATATATATATTATATATATATATATATATATATATATATATATATATATATATATATATATATATATATATATATATATATATATATATATATATATATAATAGAGAATGTTGTTTTAATTATACGTTTCCTACTGGTAATTATTTCCGAACGGGTAACACATTAATTAAAATGTAATTAAAATTACTTGAAACGAAGTTTATTGGATTATTTCGTCATTAAGGATTAGCTCATTGAATAAAACCGTTCAATTAAACAGCGTAAGTAGTATATTAGGTCACTTTTGGGTAGTATGGGTGAGGGGGATGCGGATGCGGATGCGGAACAAAGGCTATATAGGAAAATACTCGGATGCGGAGGTACAATGACATATAGCAAAATACTCACCCACCTGGGTTGAGTGGGTGAGCCGGAGGTACAACGAGATATAGTAAAATACTCCCTGGGTGATGCGGAGGTACACCGACATATAGTAAAATACTCACCCACCTGGGTGAGGGTGGGTGAGTCGGAGGTACAATGAGATATAGTAAAATACTCACCCACCTGGGTGAAGGTGGGTGAGGGTGGGTGAACCGGAGGTACAACGAGATATAGTAAAATACTCACCCACCCTAGGGTGGGGGATGCGGATGCGGAGTAGGTCAGTAGGTCACCACCGGTGACCTTGTGACGTCATCATTGACCTAGTTACGTAATTTTAATGCGTTTTTTAATTAGTTTGAATTTAATTTTTAAATTTTAATTAGTTTTTTAATTAGTTACGTAATTTAATTACTTTGTTTGTATTTTGTTTTTTAAATTTTAATTAATTTTAGTTTGATTTAATTAGTTTGAATTTAATTTTTAAATTTTAATTAGTTTTTTAATTAGTTACATAATTTAATTATTTGTTTGATTTTTATTTGTTTAATTTGTTTGTTTACTTGTTGTTTAATTTAAATACTTTGTTTATATTGTGTAATTTTTTTTTTTTTTTTTTTTTTTTTTTTTTTTTTTTTTTTATTGACGAGTTACGTAATTGGATTATTTGTTTGATTTTAATTAATTTGATTTTAATTACTTTGTTTATATTGTGTAATTTTTATTAACGAGTTACGTAATTTGATTTTTATTTTTATTTTTTAATTTTTAAATTTTTTATTTAATTTTATAATTAGTTAAATTATTATTATTATTAACGAGTTACGTAATTTGATTTTAATTTTTTTGAATTTTTAAATTTTAAATTTTATTTCTTTGATTTTAATTACTTTGTTTAATTTATTTATTTGATATATTACTTTTCTTTGTTGTTTAATTTGTTGGTTTGTTTATTTGGTTGTATGTATGTTTTAAATTCTCCCCTACAACGACCGTGTACAAAAAAACAGGTTAAATTCTCCAACACAATGAACGTTACAAAAATAGAACATCCATTTAACCACACCTGTTACTTATCGATCCGCAATCCTTTGTTGACACGCGCTGCGCGTTTTTAATGGGTATTATATCGATCGCAGCCGCTGGGCCATCACAGCATGATGTCCCGCCTAATTAAAGTTGGTCACGCATCATGCGTTTATGCGTTGTTCGCCGACCCGATCACAGCAGGGGTTCCGCGTTTAATCGAAAGAGCTAAGTGGTTAACCACAAAGCCAGCGTTAAGTGTGGGAACACCTGTTACCACGTTAATCGGTTTTTTCCCCCCGGTTGGATCCCGTGCTTTTCACTAACAGTTATACGGACAGTATCATAGGTTTTTGGTTTTCACCGAGGCAATGTTTTGTTGTTGGTTGGTGTAGAGTTTATACGAGGGTCGGTGAAGTTTTCACCGAGGTTGGTTTTGAACTCGGACCATACATGTTTAAGAATTACTAGGTGTAGAGTTTATACGAGGGTCGGTGAAGTTTTCACCGAGGTTGGTTTTGAACTCGAACCATACATGTTTAAGAATTGCTAGGTGTAGAGTTTATACTAGGGTGGTATGGTTTTGGTTTCACCATGGCTTGGTTCAAAGTTGTTACATGCATGCTTTGGAGTTGGTAGGTTTCAAACTAGGGTCGGTGAAGTTTTCACCGAGGCAGGTTACAAAGTTGATACAGACATGTTTTAGGAATTGGGGTGGGCCGTGTTCATACTAGGCTCGGTGAAGTTTTCACCGAGTGATGTTGGTACACGATGTTTTGGAAGGGGTTGGT